ATTCTTGACATAATTGATAAACTTGGCTTCCACTTTGGGAAGAGAACCACCTTTTTCTATACTTGCTTGCATTTTTGCTTTAATGTCTTCTACAGAACTAGGTCCTTTTGGTGTTTTAGGAGGTTTTTCCTGTCTTTTGGATGATTCTTGACCTTTTAATTTTGGTGTCGATGGTTTTGAGTCTTCCATTCTGGTTTGGTTTTTGAGCATTTTTGCCCAGAGTATCTCGTATAGATTGCTTCACTGGTGCTTTTTCTTCTGTTTCCTCATCTTCAAAATCATCATCATCATCGTCTTCATTATAATTTTCGTCAGCAGCAAGTTTTACTTTTTTCTGTGGAAGCTTGCTACCATCTCCAGGGGCAGATCGCTTTCCAGATATACTTAAGAGTTACACATCCTCTTCCTCTTCTTCTGACTCTGCATCTTCCTCCACAGCTACTAAGTGCTGTCCACTAATACGCACAGGCCCTGAACCACATTTCAGACCACAGGTGGTGTTATTTCAAAGCCCCCAAGGGAAACCGTTGGCTGTGCGGACATTTTCAGTGTTGCCAGTGCTACTTTAATTGATCTGCCTTCATAATTCATTGCCTCTGCTTCAATAATGTGCAATTCATCCTTTGTACTAGCCCCTAAACTGATCGTTCTTAAAGGTAACTGGTGTTCATTTTCATCATTATCCACTTTAAATTGATAATCTTTGTAGACCTTTAGTTCACAATCGAAAAGGTAGGTCAGCGGCCTGAGAAGGCTCACATCCATGTCCGTCGAATCTTCCATGGGATGGTGGCACGCACTTAGGTGGGTGAGAAGGCGGATGGAGGTAAGCAACTACAGCTCCCCAAAACAGCCACATAGGATGGAATCACTCCAGGTGATAGTAATAATTTTTTAATTCCCCTCCTTTTTTCTGGAGATGTTCTTGCTACAGGGCGTGTGCACTCCCTAGACAGACAGAGAGAGACAGAGAGACAGAAACGGAGAAATCACCCCCCAGGGGGGATGGCCATGCCACAATCCCTTCTCCATTCTCCTTGGGATCTTGGGCACACATGCACAAGCGCCCAGCGTGAGTTTAAGCCACTGGGTCCGGGATTCAAACTGCAGTCAACTACGTGGGAATGCAGCGACACAGCCATTATGCTAACTGCTGGTCTCCCCCCTCCCCCTTATTTTTATGGGTAGCTTTGTCTTTTTTTTTAATTAAACTATTTTTTTTATGTTTAATCACTTTTAAAGCATGAATTTTGCCATCTTGAATACACCACATGTTGGTCCAGTCAAAGATATTATCATACATATTATTATCACCATACAATTTTCCATTTTTGTGTCTGTTAAATGTTTTGCTTTCTTTTTTTCACCTTGATTTCCTCCCTCCATTCCCATTTCCTACCTTTCTCCTGTACTTTCTTTAGTTTGCTATTATTATTATTTTTTATTTCAAGAAAAGCAAGTTTAACTTTAATGAATCAAAATTTTAAAAATTTTGAGAAAATTGCTTAAGACTTAACAGCCAGGAAAAAGGTTAGAATTCTATTTGAGTAGGTAGATACAGATACTGAAACTCAAAAAACAAATATGGACAAAGCTAAAATCTAGTAACAAGTGCACTATAGTTTTCTTCTGAAACACTTTTTTCTCTCTCTATTCCCCCTTTTACCAAGGAGAAGCATAAACTAACTTATTGGGAAGAAAAAAAGTTTAGTGTCAATTTGGTCTGTTTGCACAAAGCCCAGTAAGACTACTAATTGATTTAATTGGCTTTGCGGGAACCTTTTATAAGGAACTTTAGCCTCTTTAAAAAGCCTTCCAAGGCTACTGAGCCAAG